GTTGAAGAAGACATTTAAAATAAATAGCCAAACGCATAGCCCTCAAAATGTGATATGGCAAAATGATCAGAACAATTTTCCTTCGCTCTATTTACACTGAGAATACATGGGATTTAATTAAATATGAAATGCTCTTGTTGAACGACGCCACCATTTATGTTTTTGAAGCGATGTGTTGAATAGTTCGGCGCATTGTATGCGTTCGTATACATTGAATTATTATAGTTTTGTTATGAAGGCACGAGGCGATTTTGAGCGAGAAACGTTTGAAAATTTATATTTTCACAGAAAGGGTTGTGGCACTTTCTCTCTGAATCTCATATCATTTACGAAACAATAAAAACATACAATTTAATAAAATATGTGGCGGTTTTGCTTCTGAATATTACATGTTTCCATGTTTCCATGTCTTCCTCTCTCTCTCTCTTTCAGTACGAAGGTAGAATGGTCTCCTTTTTTGAATGAATGCTCACGGTTTCAAGCATTGTTTTGCACAATATATGAGCATTTAAACAGTGCTTACACAATTTTTGGTATTTATCGAATGCTTTGAATTTTCGAGCAATAACAACAGGACAAGACAACTGCTTGTTTCTACCTCTCGTTCTAAATGAGCGCTCGTTGAAGTATCACTGGATACTTACTTTGGTTTTTGATTGCAGACATTTTACCGGGCCTGAATATACATATGTGATTGTACAGATGCTTTATTTCACATTTGAACCCTACTTATGTTGCGCCTACGTGGATAAAAGTCCCATTTTATTTGATTTCTACTTAAAAACACGCGAGAAAATTCCGACGATTTTCCAAGGATCATTCAAATAGAGAGTGGAAAAAATGGATCGTCAATATGAAAAAACAACAATTTCCAGTGCAAAGCAATGAACAAATTGTCAACCGTATTGGCAACGGTTTGACACGTTTCATTTTTGTCGTGGAAAAAAGTGCATATTTATGCCGGTCATATAAACGAATAGTTTGGGTGTGTTTTGATCCAATTACAATTTTCTTTCGTATGCGCACCGAGTGTGAACGACGATCGAAATAAAATAATCGAAAATCTACGCTCGAAAGCACATAAATTTGTGGAAAACTTGACGCAAACTTTTTGCTAAGAGCTCTATGGGGATTGCTGACTTTACACGTATACGTTTATTTGTTTCGCACACACAAACACACACACACAGAGCGCCAAGAAAGAAACAAACAAGCAACTCTTTCGCTGGTGGTGCTGTTTCTGCTGCGTGCTGTTGTAATTTTTATTTGCCAAGAATATTAAAATATTACGAGGCTCGAAGAATGGACCAAAGGCGTTGTGAGCAATTATGCAAACAAGATAAATTTTATGATTCCGCATCGCGTACGAATTTTGTTTATTTTTCAAAAACGCCAGTAGAATATTTAGAGCAATGTGATTTGTGATGCGCATATCAAGACTCACACCCAACGACGAGCCAGAGTCAGATCTCTCTGAGAGAGAGAGAGAGAGAGAGATTGAGTGAGTGAGAGATACGCACACAGGACAATGGACGAAGTAAGCAAATTTCAAGTTGGAAAAGTTAAGGGAGACAATTGCCGTCGTTGCATTATCACGGCATTTAATCGGCTCATTAACAAATACTAATATCGCGATAGCAACATCATTCGCCCGTTAAACTTGTAAAGCAACACAACTAACTTATTGGCGAAATGTAAAAAAAAAAAATATTTTCCAACTTATTGCCCACCAGTGAATTTTGCTTTATTCATTCCGTACACGACTCGTTGGGGCTTTATCGATTCCAAGTTGAATGTGTCATTTTTTATTCGTTTTTTATAATCATCATTTTAACGTAGCGATACGCGTGGTAAAGTTTTCAGATATCGATTCATATCGTTGTTCGAACGCGGCAGTTGAACGTCTGCAATGGTGGTTAAACAGTTTGCAGTTCAGCGAATGCGGGGGAAAAGTTTTTTGTCATAGACCGCACAATTCAACAGCGGTAGAGAGAGAGAGAGAGAGAGTGAATGAAACTTTGCGGCTATTTGTATCAAGTAGAAAAGCGGCTAACTTGTTTGTTCACCGTTACATTTCAACCGAATGAAATCCAGCGGAAATTTACCACTACTCCATCTAATTAATGCTTACATGGCGCACAACCGATTAATGTTTGCATATGAAAATTTTCGCCTGTTTATTTATTTATTTTAGAAATTCTCTGCTCGCCAATTATTTTACACTTTATTGACAGATGGGAAAAGTTCATTAGTTTTGTTTATCTATGCCTCTGTCAATGCAAACCATTTTTGCGTCAGCATTCTCTTGCTGCGGTTGTTCGCATTGTTGACCAATTTGATCACGTTTAAGGTAACAACGTACGATATTCAAATTTGTGTGTGCGTGTTGATTTTTCCCTTTCTCTCTCTCTCTCTCTCACTCACTCATTCTCTCCCGAGTGGAAATTGCACGCGGGAATTCTGGTGAATATATGATTAAATGTGCCCCATCGAGTTAATCCCAATTGCCCAACACGAAATCAAGCGTCACACGCGAATAATGAACTGTTTCACATGTGAATTCCATTTTAAATTGAATCCATGTACCCAATTCAATGCAGCATTCGTTAAACAAATGATCAAGATGTATTCAAACTCATCCATCAAATTGCGTTTTTGACGATTCTCAAATGATCTACTAAACCGACTTGATAGAGCTCTATCAAACGCTAACTTGTTAATTGCGTACAGAGAACGATTTTTATTAATACCGCCAATTGTGAAGTCAAAAGGCACAATCTTAATTAAAACGTTTGTACAGCGAGAACATTTCAATCTTTCCGTTCATTTCATATCACACAATTTGGTGTATGCTCTGTATGTATCGTCGCTCGTTCTATTTCTCGACTAGCAACTATCAACGTCTATCGCCTTAGGAATGCGTGCATTTTAGAGGTAAAGCATAAATGAACACTGTTCATTGAATAGTATCAATTTGAGCCTTCATTTCATTTCTTAACTGACTTTTTTCCATTCTATTCGCACATTTATCGTGTTCTTGGCATAAACTTCATTCCACCCGACGAATCGACTATTTACCGTTAATTTGAATAAAAAACGAATATTTTGATTTGAATCATTAAATTAATTAGAAATAGAAAACTATGAGATTTAAGCCAATTTCCGTTGTTGAAAAAAACGGAGTTTAGTTTCACTTGAAAAATGGAATTGCGTTTGCTCTCGACTTGTTTTTGGTATCATCCGATATAATTTCCTTGTACCGTAAAAGACTGAGTCAATATTTTTTTATAGTCTAACCGTCGTTTTTCTACTGGCTATCCCCCATTCGATGGTGGATGAGTGCGAGAGATATGTCTTCTTAATTACGTCGGCAATATTTCATACAGAAGCGTGTTTCGTTTGAAACTTATATTCCCGATAAGGCCAGAAGGGTTGTTTGTGTGTTGTACGTCCTGCGACGCAGAAAGAAAAAAAATATAATCAACAAATATGATGAATAAATTCAGCTGTGTATATTGTATTGTAATTTCGAACCGAATTGGTTATGGTTCACAAAAAGCGGCTGATTTCGGGAATACCGGTCTTCAGATGCTGTTGCTATTGCTGCTGCTGATGATGATCTAATGCTATTTTTCTTTTATGCGCATTATACGCGCATTTATTTTGTTCTTCCGTGTTCATTTGCATAAGACACTACGTGAGCGTTGTCGAATTTAGAATATTTCACGGAAGAGTCGACACAGAGCGAAAAAGAAGAAAAAACAATGCCGACTGAAGACAAGTCCCGAGACAACGGCAACTATCTCAACCCCGTTCATAAATGCTTTTCACTTCCATCCAATGTTATTTTTCACTGCTTTTTTTTCTGCTTTCGACAAATACGCTAGCGTATGGGTTTGCCTTCATGTGTGTGTGTGTGATGGAATATAGAATAAACATTGCCGGAGGGCTATAGCTGTTGACGATGATGCCAGAGAGCAACGGTAATACCTTAAATGACACACAAATACACACACACGCACAGAGATTCCGATCGAAAATGGTTTGATATAGTTTGATGAGTTTTGTTTCTGGTCGAAATCTCTCATAAGATAAAAAAAAAAGGGTCTGTGAACTAATTTAGCATTATTATTTAAGATTAAATATCATTTCACATCTCCGGTGTGTGTAGACAGCGTGTCTATACAAATGCCCTAATTTTACTCCTTTGCCAATGATCAATATTTTTCTTGACTGTTCAACTGCTGTTGATTAGGGTTAAGGTTGAAACAGAGAGCACATAAACATCTAAAAAAAATGATGATGCGCCTTCATCTCGATGCATCTCATCCTTTAAATTCCGTTAAGTTGCTTTTTTCGACTTAGATTTCGACAAAGATTCGTTTTTTAGAGGACCGACTTGCATTCGAATCTGCCTAATGATATTCATTTCAGGCATCATTCAAAACAGACGATGTCCCAACGTTATTTATGTATAACAACAACCACGAGGTATTTCATATTTCCATGTGGAAATGCATAATATCTTCCGTTTTGGTCTTCCCCATTCGGATCGCATATTGGCCTTTCAATCAATATCCTATTTGCTTGGGCAAGTTACAGCACACAGATATCATCGAATCGAACAATCAGAATACAAATCAGTTTAATTGTTTAAAAGTGACAAAATATTTACATAATTCTCATTGAAATCACAAAGACATAAAATGAAAATCGAAACAACGATCGTATTCACTCATGATTTTATTTACTCTTCGTTTTTGAAAGCTATATTTAGCCTTAGACTTATGTCAAATTAAAAGGATCTATTCGAATTATTCTAATTAATTTTTGAAAAGTTCCTTTTCGATTTACATACATGTTTGAAAGAAGAAGAAAACGCTCATTATTTGACCAAAAGAGCTACTTGTCAAATATATACACGTCTTAGATGTGTATGTGTGTCACTTGACAACAACTGTCATTGACTAGTTAATTTTCTAATTTTTGGCACATGAGGAATGCATTTCTTTTTTTGTGATTTGGTCGAAAGTCCAAGTGCAAGTCCACAACTACTAAAATCGCAGAAATGTGTGGCTGCAATGGGAGATATCAAGCGAATTCACATGATCGGTATCGGAGGTAGAGGTATGAGTGGGATTGCCGAGGTTTTAGTGAGTGAAGGCTATCAAATAAGCGGTTCAGATTGGGAGTCAAACGCGCTTACACAACATCTGTCCAATATGGGCGTTCAAATTTTCTCTACCTATGAACCAGAAAACATTAAGGGTGCTGATGTAGTGGTTAAATCAAACGCAATCGCTCCGAATAATGCAGAGATCGTAGCCGCAGAAAAATCCAACATTCCAATTATTCATCGCGCTGAAATGTTGGCAGAAATAATGCGCTTCCGTCATGGCATTGCAATTGTAGGAACACATGGGAAAACTACAACAACTGCAATGGTTGCCAATATCTTTGTAGAAGCCGCTCTCGATTCGACTTTCATAGATGGTGGTTTAGTGAAGAATTTCGGAGTGAATTCCTCGTCTTGGTAATGGTCGTCACATGATTGTCGAAGCGGATGAAAGTGATGCTTCATTTTTGAATTTAAGACCGATGGCTACGATCATCACTAACATTGAACCGAAACATTTGCATAATTACCAGGGAAATTTCGAGAATGTAACAGATGCTTCCATTAAATTCGTGCATAATCTGCCATTTTGTGGACACGTTGTGATGTGCATTGATGACCCAGTAATCCGTGAACTATTATCACGTATCGATCGACGTACAATAACTTATGGGTTCAGTGGTGATCACCACATCGATGCAGATTTTCATATTGCCATGTACAATCAGCAAGTAATTTTACACTAAAACATCCGATTAACGCTGATTTACATGTTGAGTTGAATGTACCAGGCCGTCACAATGCATTGAACGCGGATGCAGCCATCGCTATCGCCATGCAAGGGGATATTGACGATGGAAGTATTTTGCGTGCGATGAAACAATTCCAAGGGACTGGACGTCGTTTTGAGAATTTGAGCACTTATTCCTTAGAAGCTATAAACGGAAAATCGGGCGAAGTGTTATCGATTGATGATTATGGCCATCATCCGACTGAATTAAATGCTACCATCCCAGCTGCCCGTGATAGTTGGCCAAACAAACGTTTGGTAGTTGTTTTTCAACCACAAAGAGTCACACGTGACTATCTTTTTAATGACTTCGCTAAAGTACTGCGCAGCGTAGATGTTTTATTATTGTTGGAAGTTTATTTCAGTGGAGGAAGCCACTTATTCCAAGACCCGATAGTAGTTTATTATGTGATGCAATTCGAAATCAGAGTAAAATAAATCCAATTTTAGTGACAGACACGAATGAATTACCGACAAAATTAGCAATAGCGTTGCAAGATAACGATTTAGTGTTGATGCTAGGCAGTGGTATTGGAAATATATCTCGCAAGTTAGCTGATAATAAATTGAAAACATTATGATGATCAAACAATTAAATTGAAAATTTTTTTTTTAAAGAACATCCAAACTGAGTCCACGGCGAACAAAATCTCTTTCATTCTAACAGAAATTTGCACGCGAAAAAGTCAGTGTAACATTTAGTGTGAGAGAGACGAAATTTGACAGCATACAATTCAGCAGTGTAAGTTTAAATGTTCTTTGTAAATCTTTTCTGTTCTGTTCGGGTTCAAAGTATGGTGTTGTATATGAATAATAATAAATAAACTTTTCATTTTATTCCAAAAGAAATAAAATATTTTCATTCTAACTCATAGGAATTCAGTTGGTCGGTGTCTACGTAACGGCAAACGTTGGAAAAGTTCAATTTTGCATCAGCATCTAAACTGCCGTCGTTCAATTCCATTCTTCCATTCACATCGAAACAAAATGCAATTACGTTGACAAAAGATTTATATGATTAGTTTTCAGCCCTGAATACATTCTCCCTTGATTAACACAACTTCATTTCGTTCGACAGTTAATCTGAGCACTCAATTCGAATTAAAATATGTTATCGGTGGTCGTTATTTTAAAAGCGGCATAAATTGCATGAAAACGAACTCGTACGTGAAATATGTGGTTCCATCGAATACTTCGATACAAAATCGTATGCTTAATAGAAACAAAAAAAGCATTATTATTTATTTGAAAGAAAATGGAATGGTAAAATACGGCCAATAAGTGTCACAAAATATGTGTTTGTTCTTCATGTGTTTACAGTAGCAACACGAAATGAACAAGAGCGAAAGAAGGAGAAAGAAAGAGATGACAAAGAAAATTTCAATGCCCTTTGAATGCTTTTGATGTAACATAGCTTGCATTCTGATTGACATTCAATGTTCATTTGAGTTGTTCCATGACTGAAACACATTTAATGTGGAATGAAATGTGTATAATTGACGACAGTGATAGAGTCAAAGAAATGGCCCATAACATAACTTATAAGATTCTTTTTTTTTTTTTGTAACGTGGTGAAAGTTTTCAATCGTAGGGGAAGTTCGACGTTTGCCGAACGAAGTTGTTGGAAGAAAGAAAAAGCAGAGAAAATAAATTCCCAATAAAAATATTTTCCATTGCACATTTGGGCACCGACGTGGCAATCGGTTCCGTATTAGAGACGGAACAATAGCATCGGAATTTTGGCATTGTGTGCATTGCATCTTTCGGTGAAAAGTGAAAAATCCACAGCAACAATAGGCACAATCACCGCATGCGCTCCGAATGAAATGACGACCATGCACAACGAATGCCACATAATTCACGTAATAATGTGTACAAACCCAATTACAAACGGCACACATGAAATAAATAATAACATTATAAAACATGGAACGCATTGCATATTGCTTAAGATGCACAATCTTTGGATTCTTCTTGCTGAACGCAGCATGAACAAAGATATCGTTCGGACGAAGATTTTTTCGAAATAAATTCCGCCCAGGATATATTTTTTTTAATCAAAATGTATGACCAAAATCAATGGTGTACAACGCATTTGTTTTCTCTTTGCGAGATAATTTGAAAATGGGAACACGCATGAATGAGCACAAATAGTTTACTGGCGCATCTTCTCGTTTCGCTTGATTCAGGAACTCGCTTGCCCATAAATTATCAAAATTACATGCAATTGAATGTGATTGCCTTGTGTGTTTCCTTATTCAATAGGCGAGTAGATAAATTAGGTTTTTCCCGTGTTTCAAATGCCGGCGTTACAACAACAGGAGTGTAACTGTTGTATTACGCATTTGTGCACACGATGAATCAATGAATGCAAGAGATTTTTTTTCGAGATTTTCTATTTTCGCTTCGATCTAGATATATTTGGTACATTTCTGAGCGTCTCTCTTTTGAGGTATTTTCGTTTATCTCAATTGTTTGCTCTCTGGTACAATATCGCTAATTACACACACTACGCAATTTTTCGATCGTTTGAATAAGGTTAAAGGAATGAACCAAATTCGAGCATGAATTCAACGGTGCATTGTGATTTATGGTGACAGTTTTCGTAGAATGCATGCTGTTGCACGATGCGCCCCGTATATATGCATATGAATGAAAATCGATTGGTTTATCAGGGAAAATAGGAAGTAGCTCATATTGTGACGCATAAATCAAAGAAGCAACACTTGAATGAAGAAAAAAAATCGAAATCGACCGCCACTTCATTCAGTTTACTTTTTGTGTGCAAAATAGAATGTTCGTAATTATAAAAGCATTAAATTCAATATATTCATGTCTTATGGATTGGAAGGCGATAAGAATAGCTCTGGATCGGGAAGCAATGTTCAAATACAGAGGATGTGCATCATCTTACTCGACGAACGGAACAATTTTGTGCGACGTACGTTTAGTATGCTTTGGGTGCGAGAATTCTGATGAAATTAATGATTATTGTTTGTCCCAAAGATGTAATAATTATTTGGTAACAATACGTGTAATGCGCACATTATCCAAAACGTTGATAGGTCGAAATGCTCTCACTCCATTCGATACACACGCACACACGCTCACACACACACACACACACACACACATCGTACGAGGCACATACGTAATGGAGCCAAGAAATACGAATACGCACATGGAAATACATTGCTTGCGTTTCATATAAATTCAATGAGCACGTTTCACTCACGGTTCTTTCCCAAAACACTTTTCTCTCGTATGCATCGATATTTTCATTTTGAACGATATTTCGGGCGAAAAAATGAAATTGGTTAATGTCGACGTACATACAACGAAAGAAGAAGAAAAAAAACGCCTGAACAAATCTATTTTATTGTCATACGTGTTTGGTTGCATCTGACTTTTAGGGAGTTAAATTATATCATCTGTGTCGTAATTGAAGATTTGTTCGACTGTATGCGGTTGACTCACATACAACAAATAGCAAAGGAGAAGAAAAAAAAAACTATTTGTACAAAATAATCGTACACATGGAACCATCGACCAACAATTCTATTTGCAATTCTCATTCAATGAAGGTATATCAATTTAGTGTTCGCCGTTTTGTGTATGCGTGCATGGAATTCATTTGATTATCACATCGGAATGCTTTTCTGATCTGGATCCAATAGGGAAAAACAAACGATTGGACACGTGTGTTCAATGCGAACGCACACATTTCTTCGTCGATCATGAATGTCAGCCTCACATCGAAACTGAACCAGTCGCCTAATAACAATTTTATCTTAGATTGTTGGTTGGCCAAGCAACCAAGTTGCCGAAAAGAGAGTGAAAAAACCTTTCGTTGCTCGATTCGCACCGAAAAGATGACGATTACCACCTTCAGAAGAAAATGTTATATAATAATATTATCTCAGTTTCGACCTGAGGTCTTCACAAACGATTCAACATCAAATTAACCAAAATGCCTGTGACAATCGTTCTGATAAATAGCCAATGCCTAATTCGAATCAGTAATGATTGTATAAATGCTGTCTGATTAAATATTACCAGATGAAATGCGGTATTTTATGTTACTGAATCGTTTCACACGATGAAAAGAAATTTCCTTAGTTAAAATGATACAGAATTTTCTCATTTTGCTGTGGTTATGTATGAGCTTTGAGCGTATTCATTCGGGTCATTCAGTCTGACGGACAAAATAACGAATATGTGTGAATGAGTTTATGTGATTGGCTTTTTTTCAGTTTCATTCCAAACGAGAATTCTAGCCCTAACTCTGACAGCAATTCAACTGTTTCTTCGTAGGAAATATGCATGCGATAAAGCGTTGATGATGTTAGTTAAATTGCCGACTTGCACGCACACTTTAATATACGATTGACTAAATGTGATTCCGACGCGCGCGTCCGTCATATGAGCATAAGTAACAGTGAAAATACGGTACGAATGGTCGTCATTTGCCTGTATCGAGAAAATAAATTTTGCGTGTGCGTGCTTGTCTGCAGACAATGTTTCACAAAATGTTTCCTCGAAACGGTTTTATTTACACATTGCCGTCGATATCAAGTGGGAAAATCAACTGAAAATGGAAATGCTTTTGCACTTGGCCGTGTAGTTTTTGTCGTGCCAACGCTGATTCTTCCATTAAATATTAATTGTTTACGGTTAAGTTATTCCATCGCCGAGTCGGAATTTATTTGAATTTCAATTACTGACGGATATTCGAATGATTTCCATTCACACACACACACACACACACACACACACACACACACAAAACAACTGGAAGATTTGGTTGGGTCTACGAAATTCATCGAAAATGATTGTTTTTGATTCAAGAACAAATTAAATAACATAATTCGAAATACTATCGCTTAACTATTAGTTAAATGGAATGCTTTAGAATTTCACCAGCGAAACGAGTGAGAGTATTGTTCATTGTTTAATCCTTTTCATTTGAGAGGAAACCGCCCTGTCACAGATAATAAATTACAATTTGCAACATTTTTTTTTCTTCTTTACATTTGACGTTGAATGTTCCCCGTACGGCGCCCGTTGTTCAGTCGATTGCAAAAATTCATTCAAGCATTTGCTGAAGCGTTAATTCCAAAATGTGCGGCCTTGTTCACATCTCATAAGCTCACAAGCATGAAGAAACAAAATATGAAATGTCTATGTAATAGATTTCGTTACAATTATTTATTGCCAATCATTTCATTTACATGTGTGTGTGGCATTTTTCGTTAAAGAGTGCGACACTCTTTACGTTCTTTTTTTCCTTACACTATGCCTATGTTCAATTTGAAACCGTCGAATTCGAGAACGGATATTTTCACTGCAATCAGTTGGTGTGGTTTGACACGGGTAAAATGAGCAAGTAATGTACAGCAGAGAAGAGAATACAAAAAAAAATACCAGGGATGTCATTTTCATTGAAAGCAAAGTGAGAGGAGATGAAGAAAGAGCATGAAAGGAGGAACCGAGACAATTGTGTTCCGTGTTCTAAGCATAGTTGTAGTTTACTTGTGCTCTGCTCGACTTTGCTTCATTTTCAGCCGCCGTGTATTCATTATTATTTTTTGCGCGCTTTAAAATTAATCTTTAATCACATACCATGACGGGGTAGATGATGATACACATAAAAAGACCATTCAACCATGCACAAATCAATGTGCACCACAGTCTCGATAGTTTGAAGCGCGTTTGCATCGTCGAGTTTTTTTTGTCTGAAGGAGAGTTTAGTCGTTTAGTTTTGGAGAAGAAAATACCTTCGCACATTCACATCAATAAGACGGAAAATTATCATCGAAAATTCTCTTTCCGAAATTCGGTTTGATATAGAACTGAAATTTCAACCAAATTGATAGCCTAAAATGTTGGAGAAACTGTTAAAAATGTGTTTTTATGAAGAAAAAAAAAGGCTAATAATTTCATTCACTTAATTCTCCTATGATTTTTAATGAAACATCATTTTTTAATATTCCCATAATTGGACATCGAATCAAATTCCCTTCAAAATGGTTAAATTGCATACTGAAAAGAAAAGCGAATCGAAACCATTGAGTTTGCACTGAATTTATTATATGATATGATATTATCGTCTAGATTTGTAATTCGTCTATTTGGCTGCACAAAAAAGGTAGTGTGATCCTAGTGAATTTTTTTTCTCTTTCTTCTTCTACTTCAATCTACATTGGGTCGACGGCATTCACATTCGAGAACACATCAACACACATACGAATGCTGTATGAAGCCAAGGGCATATGACAAGATGACATTGAACAACCCCTTTTTAAAATAGTTTTTGCTAGTCTAAGCATATGAGAATATCGGCATCTTTACTATGTGCCGCACTCGACCAAATAGAAAGAAGATGAGCAATGAATGTAGTACAATGATCTTATTACGAGACTTTTTTTTTGCTCTTCTTTCATTCCATGATTTTTTTGAATTTCTGATAAAGTTTTGATTTTCGAAAAAAAAGTGGGTGAAAAATGGAATTTTTCAATGCTCGAAAAGACAAAAAAAAGCGAGAATACTAAAAAAATGAAAAAAAGCAAACTAAATTTGATATTTGAAATTATTTTACAACATTTTTAGAATTTCATAAGTTGAGCGAGAGAGTTTTAAAATATTCCACGTTGCGGCTAAGTCGTACTCAGTCAGTACGGTGTTGTTTAATCTCATGCTTAACTTACCATAAATTATAGCAGCATGAGCAGCAAGCACACAGCACCACTCATGGCATTGCTCTTGTGTCTTGGCTGCAAGAAGTTTGTAAAGTTTCGACTAGATGTCGTTGTACGGCAAAGCCCAGGATCTGAGTGCAAATACAAACCATATCCTTTTTGAAGTCATATACTAATGATTTCATTCGGTTCATACCTTGAATATACCGAGAAATGCTCGCCATCAATATGCATATCTAGGTAATAACAATTATTCGGCTAGTGTAAAAGAAAAACAAACGGCTGTATAATAATAATAGTTAAGCTTTATTCAATAATACTTGTATGCTTCAAATCAAAACATCGATACTTATTTTCCATTTTATGTATATAGACTTGATTTCGCCAAATAAAATCGTGTATGGCAATAATAAATTATTTGCTTAGATTTCGTTTTCTAAATCATTTTAAGCCCAGTAGTTCGTCAATTTTTCAGATTCTATCGCCTAAACAAATCGCATTTTTTTAATTACATCGTTTCTAATCGTTCTTTTTTTTTGTAAATTTGTCTAAAATGTTGCATTTTGAGTAAATTTTGGTTTAAAAATTTGCATAAATTTTTCATATTTTCCAATTTAGAAACAATTTTCGATAAAAATGTGTGTTGTTGTTTTTCTTCCGTTCTTCATTGATTCATAATCCGTCATTTTTAGTTGAAACAAAACGTTTTGTTTGTATAACGAAGCAATGTATGTTTATATCGCTTAAATTCATCCAGAATAATGTTGTGTATATGGCATGAAGTGCATACTTATTACATAGCTCTTAGATGATAAATTACGAAAATTGTTTTTGTGAAAAAGTATAAATCGCAAAAAAAATGTTGTTTGTTTTTTTGTTATTCGATTCTTAGAATTGTTGATACAAAGGGAAAAATGGCACATTTACTTCTGTTTTTTTCTTTTACTTGTTTGTTACTCTTAATAAATTCTCAGAATGAAGGTTGTTCTTTTTATTTTAGGTTCTGTGTGTTAAGACGGTAGTTGTGTTTCGCTTTGGTGGTGGTGGTGGCGGACGCTTCTTAATGATTGGTAACGGTGCTGGGCATCGTTCATTTGCGGCCGTGCCAAGATTTGCATACAGATTATCAACAGTCACACCACCGTAGTGTGACTCGACCCAATTGCTCACATTGGATGATTCACGATAGTAATGCGATGTGTCATGGTATTCCATGTTCATTGAAGCGGCATTGTTGTCAAAGTCGCGGAATCCGAGCACTTCATGAGGATTGGTGGTCGGTTCGAGTTTGCATTTCTGTGAGATTTGCCATTTTTTGCGCATTACACGTTGCAAATCTTGTAGAAAGTCATGCGGCGGATTTGATGTGGAATCAGCTAGCCGCCGTGGAGATGGAACGGTTGATAATCGTGTGCCTTCGGCTCGTGGAGGTGGCACTGGAGCTGGTGTATCCTTTGAAATGCGACGCGGGGATGATGGAATTTGATTTTGCGTCTGGTTGGCGATCACTTCGTCTTCGAAGCAAACCTTGCGACGAAGCAAAATTGGCGAATCGGCAAATGTGACGGTTTTTTGTGGTACACTTGGACTAGAGATAGCTGAACTGTTCGAGCCGCCATTGTATGCTGGTGGATTCTTATAGGGTGGTGCTTTAATTGAAGATTTCATTGAGGATACGTAAATTGGTTGCGATGCGCAATCTTTAGCAGCATCGGTGGCATGATCACATTCATCAATGCCAACCACGTTGTTTTGAATTGAAATATTATTATTATTGTTGTTGTTGTTATTATTATTATTATTGAAGCACATTTTCTGTTGTGCCACGTAAATTGGTTGTAAGTCGTTTGGCGGAGGCGGAGGTGGTTGTAGACTTGATTGTGATGCAGTGAATTCGTTCATAGCATTCAGTTCGCTGGGACTCGGTGGAGCAGGAAATGAATCGAGGGAAAATGTGGACCCGGTGAGTGTGTCGGTGTCTGGTGGCGGAGGCAGTGAAAACATCGAATCGGTCATGCACGATGGCATCACTTCTAGAGGGCTTAACGGAGATGCGTCAATAAGATCGTCATTGTTTGCAATGATAATGGGCACATGAGAGGTTGGTGTGCTTGGTGAACTTAATGTTGATGCATGTGTTGAAGAGCTATCCACTGAAGCTCGAGAGCTATTGTTTGGTCGACGCTTCAGTGTGCTGTTATTACTACCGCAACTTTCTTCGCTTCGACGCCGGCTGTGACGTCTAGTCAAAGTGCCACCACGCTCTGGTGATGCTGGATTCGATGATTCGTCTATGCTGTTGCGCTCTTTCAATTGTCGTGTCATTGATGTGAGCGGTAGATTTGGTTTCATTGAAGGCTTTCGTTTAATTGTTCCGGTTGGAAAATCTGAATCGAATGCGTTATTTTCATCGGACAAGCAACCACTCGAGCTTGAACTGGACGCTCTCGACAATCGCCCATTTGACGAACCATTGTTGTTGTTGTTGTTATTCACAATATTATTACTCTCATTGCTGCAATGCGACGGAACGGATGAAACTATACTTCCTATGGAGCTGCTACGATTCGATGAGAATTTGTCCATTTCTTCGCTTGCCAAATCTTCGACCAGCGTACGATGATTGTCCAGTAATTGTTTTCCGTATTTGGCCACACGAATGGCCATCACCCATTTTTCCAACGATTCCAAATCATCGGCACACAACATTTTAATGCCTCGTACATTGCCCTTCGTTCCGCTGCCGCTCGTCGACTCCTTCTGTGACTTCAACGCAAATGTGTATTCGGTTGGCGCCTTGTGTTTCTTTTTCCATCCAATTCCCTTGTACACATCATTGCCCGCAAACAAGCTGTGACACAGTAGATCGCGTGGTGATTTAGTTTTTTCTTTTGGATAGTAATAAATTCCAGATGCGCGCAGCACGAAATGATAACGTTTCCAAACTTTTTTCGACTCGATTTTTACGTATAACGGTCCTTCCATCGCAATCTGATTGCCGCTTGAAAAATGCTCCTCCAACAGCATGGCTCTGGATATGGGTTAAGAATGGAGAGAGAGAGTGGGTGAGTGTGAGTGAAAAGAGCACAAAGAGATTTAGATAGAATGATAAAAAAAATAATTGGATTAGTTGAATTGTGTACCTCGTATGCTCGTCATGGTCATTGCCCGGAGCCATCTGTGTGCCACCATTCAGGAACTTCTCTGGAGTGTGGAACAGCGCAATTTTATCACTTCGCTGCAGAAACAATACTCGATTTTTCGAGTCGTTGCTCCAATTCATCAAGTTGTCCACGAGCAGTTCATGGTCTTCAAATAAACGTTCTGCAGAGAAAAATCGTTTAAATTGAAATAAAATGTTGGAAATTTAATCAAATCCTGAATGAAATTATGCCAGAGCAGTGTTTGTACATACCCATTTGAAGATCCGGTATGTGTTCCACTAATGCCCAAAGCGGTTCCATTTGAACGTGATTTTTGTCGGCAAGTAAACGTGTCACATGGCCACACGACATACTTTCATCGACAAGCAGCGACTTTGAGGCTCCATCGGCTGTAAATGCCTTCACAAATAGACGTCTAATTGATGCTTGCTCTAATTTTTGCAGAGCCAAATGGATTTTGGCTGCCTTCGCACTATCACACTGTGAATTGCCAATGAACAACAAAACCGTTTAGTTTCAAAATCAAATTCAATCAATAAAAAAAAAACGAAACTTACTTGTAGCAGATTCAAGTTCATTGACAGGATATTTTTGCCGTGCGCATTTCCTGTGAGATTACTGATGTTGCTCGATGCCGACGATTCGCTGGACAGCAACGAAACGGTGTCGCTGAATGCTGAATCATTGTCCGGGCTTTCGGTGCGTGATTCTCGCATTGCACCACTACTTGAATCGGATCCACTGCCATTTCCGCTTTCCGATGAAATGGAAATCGATGAATTTGTCACGCCCGAAACTGTTGAATTCGATCGCGAGTGTGTCCGACCGTTTCGAACGGGTGACATGATTGATGGTGGTGGCTGTGCTCCTGCTGCTGCTGCTGATGCTATTGGGTTGTTTTGCATGTTGTTCATGGTTTTGACTTCGGTTCCGTTTGTTGATTTAGCGTGTTGCTCCAATAAACTTAGTTCACCGAGAATTGCGTCCAATTCCGCTTCGTGTGTTTCTTCTAAGTTTGCCATCGAAAAGCGATAGGAACTCGTTCGTTCGGAGGAACTTTGACTATGAGGTCGTAATCTGATTGTTGTAGTATTTGGTACTTCTAAGCCCTATGTGGAAAAAACGGAAAAGCCAAAAACATTAGCACAAAGTTTGCAGACATGGTGTCAGGTTTTAAGCGAAACGTTACACAATTTATCTGTTTTATATATAGATTGTCAAACGATGTAATGAATTTTACGTTTAGCGAAACAATTTTTTTTTCTCTCTCTTTCTGTTTACTGTCACGGCTCATGTTTCTTGTGCCGCTTTCTACAAATTTCTCTTGTGTGTCCGTGAAAAAAAAACATGGGCGCAGCAGAATATGTTCGAAGCGAGGAAAAAAAAAGTGTCGAGGACGTTAAAACGTGCCTTATCTTATCAATACCGAGCCACTTCCAGTCTATTTACACAACTGCAGCCGCATCCGACTGTGTTTGCAAACGACTATCATTTTCATTCTATTTCGCATATACGACTCTGCACACTGATATCATACATACTGTGTAGACTGTATAACTACTAGCGAGGTAAATAATGGCGATAACTGCCAAATTGTGAAAAAAAAGCGTAGCAAATTTCTTTAACTTACACGAAATAACAAAAAAAGGACTGATACTATGTTTCGACGAGGAAGCATGTGTCGTTGGCGTAACTTTTGCCTTGATATTGAATTTGATAGTTTCGTTCGTTGGGTGTTTTTTTTTTGTTCTTGACACAATCAATTTTCCATGTATATGAAACGGTAACTTATGCAGCAAAAACCAAACGACAAACCATATGTCTCAAACACATTCACATCGATTGGTATGTACATTACAATCCACAATCGAACAACACTAAATTTACTATTGCCCAATAAAATATGTCACTCTGGAGTAAGTTTCTTACATGCACTTTGAGAATTGGACCAAATCTCTCTAATGCTGCTGCAGACACACGATGTGCGTCAAGATAAGCCAAAATGCAGACTGAAACTAAACATTTGTTGTTCCAATCGGACAAAACATCTAATCGATATTCCAAACAAGTATTCGCTTACAGCAAAAGCGGTATTTTGTGTTTGAGGCTCCGAAAGCAGAAGGACAATAAAGCAATCGCGCTGATGCATTAGTGCGTGTAAACTCATACGAAATGCCTGTAAGTAGTGCCTTATTGTTAGTCATATATTCGAAATGGGCAAAAAGAAAACGTTATTCTCAAACGTTGGCATGTCATTAAGTCGGAATTCAAAAGGCCAAATGTTAGTTATGAGTTCGATACAATGAAATGGATTTTCGGTTTGGCCCCAGCCAGCATCGTACATCGAACGTGATGGAGAATAAATTGGAGACGACAATTTTTTTTTTCTATTTTCTTTTCTTTTCTCCTAATTCATTTTACGTGCACTTACTGTCATACTTTGTCCATGACTTTTTTCTTCTTCTTCTCTTCTTCTTCTTCTTATTTTCTCGCTGAGAACCGAGACTTAGCTCAGTACAGCACAGCATAGCACTCCATGCGGCGTATACAAAAAGAAGCAACTAAACAAAACAAAAGCAAAACAAACACAATGAGTGATTGAATTTCAGTCAAATTTCTTTCTTTCACTCTTTTGTTGTTGCTGCTGTTATTGTTTTTTTTTCGACTGTAAATTGCATACGTATACTCATTTTTATTTGCCGCTTTTCTCCCTATGTTTTTAAATTTCCTACGATTTTTTCGCCTTACAATTGATTTTTCCAACGCAGAATTCAGCGAAAACGATATGGGACACACACACAAAAATTCCGAAAGTGTTTTTCCTTTTACTCAACCGCGCTCAGCTCCCGGGTCAGACCTACGTGTATTTTCGAAATAGGCACGCACCAAATATATTTTAGCATGCGATCCGTTCGGCTTTTCTAAACAACATTTGAACACGTTTTCTATAAAAACGATGACTCAGAGTTCAACAATTCCGAGTTGAATCAATAAATATTTGATTTGAATAAATGTGTTACGAACAAAATTCAGGAAGAGATTTTCATTTTAATTTACCTGCCACCAATTAAATAGTATCCGAAACCCCATTTTCGTGCTGGTTACACTTAAATCATTCGTCTCACATACAAAATTGAAACTTCACTCGAGATTATTATCGAAAATATCCTTCCGATTTTTGATAGAATTGGAAACAATGGAATTGTAACATTAGATTACTGTGTAATTTGGATATTATACTATTAGATTATACGACTTGAATACCATATATTTAGTCAATACACGATAGTTCCAAAACAATGAACTGCTGGTAAGTGAATGAACGTCGAATTCAATTCATTCCATATCGATAGCACTATCATGAATTTTTCCTAACACATGCCAGAATATAGTCGGAACCGTGCTTGCGTTCATGTTCATATCGATAGTTTTTGCATTATTAAATCAAAGCCAATTGGATTATGAATACCTCGGCTTCGTAATTATCTAGATTTTACACACACACACGACTCTAATCAATGGTGTAAAAGTGTCCCACATAATGGGACAGCGCAGTTAGATCAATGCTCCGGCTCATTCATGCATAATAATTGAATCGATGCGCTTAGATTCAGTTCTGTTCAATTTTTTTTTCTCAGTTGAACACTTGGCAAGCGTAACAGAAACGATAAAACGAACACATACATCACCGGGAATTGAATCGGGGAAAAAAGGCGTGTGCCTAATAAAGCGTACTGCAGTACTTTGATCACTACTGTATCGCGGAGTGAATAGAAAAAAAATCACGATTTCATTTGTATTTCCGTCAATTTATCTCTCTAATTCTAAATATAAAATAGTCAACAGTGTAAACGTTGATGTTGCATCATGAGCGTGAGGCAGTGAGTGAGCACGTGTCGCTGCGTTACTAATGCATTTCCCACTAAGCCCGAAATTGACGAATAGTTAGACTCAACTAAATCGGTTGGAACACATTTTTTCTGTGTGTGCGTGTGTGTGTGTGATTTGAAATAAATTGACGCAAGGAGAAGAGATAGAAACAAAACTATACAGTTTTTTTTTGGTGCCGTTGTTGCATACACATATGAACAACGTCAGTTGGGCACAACACATGCAGTTTATGGTCGTCTTTCACAGTCCAAAATAGAATCAGCACAAAGTGAATATAAATAGCAAAAAAGATCCCATGGTGACTTTTCCTAATTCAAACAACAGCGCTCTTTGCTTCGCGTTCTTCGTTTCACCTAACGCAGTTCAATTGTTTGGTTTTACTTCAAGCCGTTAACTTTTTTATGACTCAGTTTTATGTTTATTTGTTTTAACCGTTCGACATCGTCAATTTGGTATTTGTTTTTTTTTTTATATTTTGGGGTAAGATTTTCCAACCAAAAATAATGATTTTGTTTAGTTTTGCCTGAATATAATGAATTTTCATACAGTCGATTGAATAAAATCTGTTTCGAAACAAATCATTATTTCAAACTTTCATGAATGCTTCATTTATTATTTATGAAAATTCACTCCCCAACAAATGAATTTGAAAATGCTCTATTGCATGCATCACTCACAACACAATTTATCCTTTTTTCAGTTGTTGTTATTTGTATATAAACACAAGCAGCCACATTGTCTCGTTCAATCAGATCAAAAATACTACAATAATAAACACTCTAATTTCACATAGCCAAAGCACAGGCACAATGTGTATTGGAATCGATGGTGCTCTCTTTCAACTGGCTGCAGCCGAGAGACATACGCAACCTAAGTAATGGCACAAAAATGAATAATTTTCACTTTATTATAGTCCTTTTATACACTCACAAACGAACGGATCTCGCGCTCTCGCTCCTCCGTGCCATTTTCTCGGCGAATAAAACGGCAACAAAATTCGCTCAACGTAATATTACTCTCTTCGTCGCTAGCTAGCTAGCTCGCTCGTTCGCAACCATCAAACATTTCAACATTGTGCAAGTGTTTGTTCGAAAATAGAGAACAGAACCAAGTATGTTACACACGCATGTGGAAATTTTTTGGGATTACTTGAGCATCAAGTAAAATGGTTTTAGCTGCACGTATTTGAATGAAATCACGCTGTGTGAATGGTGCTGCGTGTCGCTGAACTTCAAAATGATACAATATTATTGTGAAATTGAGCAGTGAGGATAGCGTTTTACGAAGGGGAATTTTTGATGAGACAGAGTTTCGAGAGAGAGAGAGAGAGAGAGAGAGAGAGAGAGCAACGAATATTGTGGATATCCGTATGATTCACACTCTTGGAATCCACTCGCAGGATGAGAGAGCGTATGAGTGGTGGCCGGAAAAGAGACGACCGTATATGCATTGTCCTTCCGCAGTTTGAACGCATTGTACCGCAATGGAAAATTGTCGCAATGTATGCCAGCAGCCAAATGGATAAACATATCTTGCCTAGCGTTACTCAATTTTGCTTCGCACAAAGCCATTGTATTATAAAGCGGCAGAAAAAAAAAACGGTCAATCCATAGCGGCATTTTTACTCCATTCTATTTGTTTTACTCTCTATCGGTGTTTTCTGCACACAGTCAATCGACGTCTGGATAAAATGAACGAAAACAACACGGATGCCATAATCAAATACGACGTATAGTATTGTTGAACGTGTGCTCACAACACAAAAAGTTCCTATACACACATTTTCAATGGATTGCGCATGGGGCGTGCAATCTGAAATAGGCACTTTAGGAAAACAGAGCAGTTTTTTTTTTTTTTCGTTAGTTCGACTTGTTGTGCTCTATATTATAGAGATATAGAGAAAAAGATTGAATCGTTCCAAGAACGCGACCTGTGAGCAACGGAACATTTTCCTTTGAACTTATAAGTTTGTTCGTTAAGTGCTCGAGCAAATACCACGAACAGATACCACTAAATTTAATAGGTGAACGCACAGGAAGGAAGTTTTTGAATTTATAATGAAAAGTGCATTTTAATTTTGAGCACAGAATTTTCTGCTGTAGAAGGCCATCAAAATGTGTGGAATTTGTTTAAAAATTTCACAATGTTTCAAGCATCTCCGATGTAACGAACATTTCTTTTATGTACGTTGAATATAAATGCTGTTGTTGCTGTTTTA